CCCAGCTAATTAAAAAAAAAAAAAAAAACGACACAGAATCTCACTATGTTGCCCAGGCTGGTTTGGAACTCCTGGCTTCAAGCGATCCTCTTGCCTTGGCCTCCCAAAGTGCTAGGACCGTTGTAAGCTCCTGTGCCCAGCCCATTGGATTATTTAATACCTGGGATACCTTTTGTTTTTAATAGTATTATCTCAAGGTGTTTTAAAAAATAAGAACCATTACAGTGAGCTATGATCGCACCACTGCACTCCAGCCTGGGCAACAGTGAGACCCTGTCTTGTAAAAGAAAAAGGAAAAGCCATAACTGTGTTCATTGTTTATCTAGCAGTATAACTGAGATACTAGAACTTTCTTCCCACATGGGTAAAGTAAAAATCTTAGGATTCTGCTAGCCAAACTATTTTAAGCATTAAAAAAAATCAGACCAACACCTTCTCTTTTTATAGGGATTTGCTGAAGCATTTTTGGAACATCTCTGGAAAAAATTGCAGGATCCAAATAACCCTGCCATCATCAGGCAAGCTGCTGGAAATTATATTGGAAGCTTTTTGGCAAGAGCTAAATTTATCCCTCTTATGTAAGTAACCTAATTTTCCAAGCACTTTTTAATATCATGCTTTAAAAAGAGTATAGCATTGTCTCAAGTCAGAAATATGTCTTAATTTTTTTGGTCTGTCTTTAAAGCGAAAAAAATCTGTTCCCCCCCCTCTATGCAAGATGTTTATTTCTAAGATGTGATTTTGGAATAAAATGTCTCCTTTTTTAGATATAAAACCTCATATGCATGGCTTTTGTCACCTTTTCTGTGTGGTTACACTTGAATTTGAAGATCCATTTGTCTTCATGGATAGTGTACAGTGTTGTATACTGTTTTGATTCTTTTCGTAGGTTTGTCCTTTTTCATTTGCATTCCGAATCAGTTGTATCTGTTAAAGCTGAAGAAAAACCCTTTTAAAGGTAATAGACCTGTCTAGGAGGCCAGTTTCTTCCAGTGATCCATGAAGATATCTTTGGGCAATAATGCTATTAAAAACTCATCCCCAACAACTAAATTCTTGGCGATAGGACTTCATCAGAATCCCACAGGGAATAGTGAAGTCCACCAGTCTGTCTGTGTTTTGTGAGATGTGGGTAAATGTGCCCTGTTTGGCCATATCACCCTAAGAGAGCTGAAAGGCCATTGGAGAAGCCCTTCTGAGTTGATTAGGAGAAACTGTTCTCCATCCCTTGGGACATTTATCTATTCCTGGAAGGTCGGAGCTGTCCTACCTTGTAATTGGAAGATTGTCCTCCCAACAACCCATCTTTTTTCTTCCTTCCTTCCTTTGCTCCTCCTCTATTCCCATGGGTAACATTTAAAGAGCTTTTCGTAGTTTGTAATGAGGGAATTATTTGTTTTTACGTTACTCTAGTTTTTTTAATGAAGTAAATAAAATTGACTTGAATTTTTCTTTTCTCTAGTACTATAAAATCATGCCTAGATCTTTTGGTTAACTGGCTGCACATGTACCTTAATAACCAGGATTTGGGAACAAAGGCTTTTTGTGATGTTGCTCTCCACGGACCGTTTTATTCAGCTTGCCAAGCTGTGTTCTACACTTTTGTTTTTAGACACAAGCAGCTTTTAAGTGGAAACCTGAAGGAAGGTCAGTGATACAGGGTTAACGGACTCAAACTGGATTTTCCTTGTGTGCTTACTACCTTTTAGAATGGTGATCCTTTACTTTTGTGATGTTGATAAAAACTATGGATTCAGAAAACCACATGTACACCCATACTTTTACAAATAATTTCAAGCAGCTCCTAGTCCCCTAAAAACCCCTTAAGCCTCCTCTTAACTGTTGATAGGTTTGAGGTTGAGAACCCCTGCTCCAGAGGATATGAAAAGTGAAGACCTCTTCGGTGGAGAGGCTGAGCCCTTGGGCTATCCAGTGCCCTACACAAAGCTTCCAGCACTCCTCCTTGTTCTGGAAACAGCCCAGTGAATGACAGGGATTCCCACGTTACAGACAAGGCCAACGCACGGGGAGGTAATTCACCCAGGGTCACGTAGTTATTGGCAGGATTAGAAGTTGAAGGCAGACTGTATAGCTTGTGTTCATACACAAGAGTGTGAAACTCCTCTATCTGAAGACTTGAGAATTAATGAGGTTTTAGTAATCTATCAGTTGAAACTTGTTATTAGATTAGTGTATTTTAATTGAAGAGATTCCCTAAGAACAATGTAATTAAGTCAATTTAAGTTGTTTTGTTTACTTTCATGAATAATTCAAATGGTTTAATAGGCTGTATCCTCTAAGCCAGGGCTTCTCAACCTCAGCACTGTTGACATTTTGGGGTGTGTAAGCCATCATTGTGGGGGGCTGTCCTGTACGTCAGCGATCCCCAGCCTTTTTGGATCGGTTTCATGGAAGACAATTTTTCCACAGGGTGGAGTGGCACAGAGCTCAGGCAGTGATGCGTGGCCCAGTTCCTAACAGGCCCAGGACCAGGGGTTAGATGTTTAGCCGCATCTCACCTCCACCTACTAGCTGCTAACAGCAACTCCGTACCACCCCCAGTTGTGACAACTAAAACTGTCTCCAGACATTGTCCAATGTCCTCTGCAGGGGGCACAGTCTCCTTGGGCTAAGAACCATGGCCCTAAACTGAATCTTGTATGGGTTGTGTTTACTTCATACTTCTAAAAAGATGTGTGGGTTAAAGTTAGTTGTATGAACTAGTAGGAGAACAAGACTTTTCATAAGGTGAATAAAATCTCTGCTTTTCTTTATATAAATAAATGCCAGGAATCTTTTTTTTTTTTTTTGCTGGTGCCACTGGGGCACCATTGGAAGCCTCTCTCTGATGCCAGGAATCTTGGTTAAAGAGGATGTATTTCTTATAAGCCACGATATTATCTCATTTATGCAATTTTTATTGAAATACATATCCAAGAAACTCTAGGAAAATATACCGAAGCACAAATTGATCTGCTTGCATCTTAAAATAAATGTGGTGTCTTTATTTTACTAACGTAAGAGAGAATTATATTCATTAGTTCCAAGATAGAGGTTTGTGTCTAAATTTGCCTTCTACCTTCAGAATTTTCTTGTTAAAATATGACGGGTAATGTGCGCCTGAAAACAATGCTCAGCATCACTGATAATTTAAGACATGCAAGTTAAAATGAGGTTGCTGTTTTGTTGCCTGTCATGATTGTTTTCTGGAATCAGATCACAAGATCTTTTTTCCCCTTCTCTATAAACTTAGCATATACTGAGCTTACAAACATACGAATTCTAAATTGTCATATAATCTTATAGCCCACTAGGAACATGTGCTTACTTCCTGGACCTTGAAAAGAACAAACTGTTTTCATTAGAAAAGCTGCCTTTGTCATAAATGAATGTAGTTGGCCTAGTGATATTCTTGGCCATACACTGTGCCACTTACCTACATGGACCTTTATTCGCAGCATTTCTGCAAATAATTTTTTTAATTGTTTTTTTAATGCGTGACGATTTGTGCTTTTAAAGATACAGGCTTTTCAATTAGATTGGTACCTTAAAATTTTTTTTTGTTTTTTAATCAAAGGTTTGAGGTATCTTCAAAGTCTAAATTTTGAACGTATAGTGATGAGTCAGCTAAATCCTCTGAAGATTTGCCTGCCCTCGGTGGTTAACTTTTTTGCTGCTATCACAAAGTAAGTTATATACTTTCTTGATGGAAGTTATTTAAAAGTAAGTTTGTGTTCATATTAGTATTGTAAGATTCCATTAAATTTCTGTGAAATAAGTAACACTAAAAAACCAGTAACTCAGTCCTTGCGGGAAATACTGCAGTGCAGCTATTATTTTTAAACTCAGATGGCATTGGAAATTGCTACTACTTTTTATCCAAAGGGTGTAATTCAGCAGAAGCTTGTCACTTTGAAATAAATAAGGCAGCTAGTAGGCTGAGAGGTGCAAACCAGAGATGCTTGTTTGAGTGACACCTGTAATAGTAATAAAAATAAACTGGACATGAAGTAAACAGCCATCAATAGGAGGTTGGTTTAGAGACTATAGTATCTCTGGCCTACTGGCTATAGCTAATACATTGGCTTTACTGTGTGCCAGGCACAGCTCTAAGCACTTGACATAGAACTCAGTTAATCCTCATATAACTAACTCTGTGACTGTATTACTAACCCCACTTATAAACCGGGAAATAGAGGCACAGAGAGCTTAAATTACTGCCGTGAAGTCATACAGCCAGACTGTGGCAGAGTTGGATTTGAATGCAGGCCATCTGGCTCTTTTGTAAACATTCACTAATTTATTCTGCTTTATGGAGAAAGCGAATTGGAGGCCATGGGCATTCAATTAGGATATGCAGGCAGGATCATAGCTTATAATCTTCAACAGCTAAGAGTCTATTCCTTTTTTGTCCCTCAGTCCCCTTTGGACAGCTGGCTGCTCTTGTTCAGCAACATTAATTCTGTTTTGCTGAGCATCTATCTAGTTCCAGGTATCCTTTTATTTATTTTATTTTACTTTTCTCATCCTGCCAGCCCTCATGATTACATGGTAGTTCCAGGTGTCCTATCTCTCCTAAGATCTCAAAAAGGATAATAAAGGATTAAAAAAAGGAATATAGAAGCCAACAAGCAATAGCATTTAGTGGGTAGAAGCTTTCAGCACGTTGCTGAGATGGGAAACATTGCGAAGAGTGAGAACTAATGAAGCAAAACAGAGGCAGCCACGCCATGGAATATTCTCTGGGAAGGGCAGAGGGCTGCGCTTGAGCCGACTGGTCTAGAGGCTCTAGATTGGGGGTTGGTGTGTGCATTTGAGGTGAGGAGTGAGATGTTTATTTATTTATTTGAGACAGAGTGTTGCTTTGTTACCCTGGGTAGAGTGCAGTGACATCATTGTAGCTTATTGCAACCTGAAACTCCTGGGCTCAGGTGATCCTCCTGCCTCAGCCTCCTGAGTAACTGGGACTACAGTTGCATGCCAGGACGCCGGGCTCATTTTTTCTATTAGTAGAGACAGGGTCTCCAACTCCTGAGTTCAAGCGATCCTCCTGCCTTGGCCTCCCAAAGTGCTAGGATTACAGGTGTGAGCCGCTGTACCTGGCCCTTATTTTGATTTTAACTCCTGTGTAATCTATTAACTTTTTTTTACTTGAGTCTTTTTGGGATTTCAGCTGTGTCCATTTTTCAGTGTTGGGAACAACAGCTCAGGACCATTGTTGCGTGTGTGTCCCAGTGTACAGACATGCGCTTCCTTGTCACACACCTGGAAGTGTGTGGTTGCTGGGTGGTGGGAGATACAGATCTTCAACTTCACCAGCTAGTACAGACCATCCTCCAGGGTGGTTTTGCTGATTTACACTCCCACCAGGAGGAGGAGTAAATATGATCCTTGGCTGATGTAATACAAATAGAAATATTTAATATGCTGCCCGAAGTTGCGTAGTGACCTGAGAACCTGAGGATAAATACCTGAATGAATACTGTTGTGGGAAGGGGAGGTAGAGAGTGGCAGAAGTGAGCTAAATCCTTATCTTGGAGAAGAAGTTCTGTGAATGATTTTTCACGTTGCTGAATCATACAGAGATAACTACCAGAGAAAGTGACAACATAATGGTCCTGTTGTTTTTCTATTATGAAGTCTTCTATTTAACTGTTCCCACTCACCATGCCTGTTCCTTTTTTTACCAGTTTCTGAGATCGTGACTTGGCCAATCCCATGTCCCTCCTTCAGTAAAGTCCTAATTTCATCTTCATGAGCAGCCAAGTCTGTCCGTCAACAGCCACCACTTGCCTCAGTAACTCCTGAATCCCCTTTTCACCAATCCCCTGATTCTTTTGCAAGCAGTAAAAATAATTAAAGACACCTAGATAATTATGCAGACTAAAAGAGTTTTACCTTGCAAACATATTAATTTTTAGTAATACCTATTAATCTAAGCCCAATTTTATATTCTAAGTCACAACCACATTTTCTTTCTCCTTAGCAAACTTGTATAGTAGCAGACCCACTCTTGCTCTGTTGCCCATTGCTCTGTTGCCCGGGCTAGAGTGCAGTGGCCTTGTAGCTCACTGCAACTTCAAACTCCCGGGCTCAAGTGATGTTCCTGCCGCAGCCTCCCAAGTAGCTGGGACTACAGGTGCATGCCACCATGCCCAGCTAATTTTTTATTTTTTGTAGAGATGGGGTCTCACTATGTTGCTCAGGGTAGTCTCGAACTCCTAGGCTCAAGCAGTCCTCCTGCCTTGGCTTCCCAAAATACTGGGATTACAGGTGTGACCTACTGTACCTGGACTGCTTTATATTATTTTTACTAGCACTTGTTACATTCAGCATTATCTGCGTGGTCAGTGTAGTTGTCATACACTAGTCACGTCTATGCACAGTAACTCCAGCATGTTAATGCCTCCTTCTGTGTTGGTTTTGGTGTTCCACAGTAAATACCAGCTAGTCTTCTGCTATACCATCATTGAGAGGAACAATCGCCAGATGCTACCAGTTATTAGAAATACAGCTGGAGGGGACTTGGTGCAAACCTGCACGAACCCACTTGACACCTTTTTCCCCTTTGATCCTTGTGTGCTTAAGAGGTAGGTACTCTTAAACAGGTGACACTGTTGGTGGTGAATTTAGGGTTTCTTTGTCATAAGGGGTCCTTCCTAGCTAGGGTCTCATGGTCTCCATGCACATGTTTCACAGGCCTAACCTAGAGAATGCGTAGCAGAATCTGCCAAGCATCATAGGCGCACTAGGGTTTATAGATCTACACCTCAGTAGGAACCAAGATTGATACCAAGGGTGTTTTTCTTTCTTTCCTTTTCCTTTTCCCTTCCTTTCCCTTCCCTTTGCTTTCCTTTCCTCTTTTCTTCTTTTCTTGGTATTGGGATAAAGATGACAGGATAAGGTGGGGTGCTGTCTTTTCCTGGCTCATAATTTTTTGCCAAGTAACTTCTTCCTTCCTTTAGAGACCACATCCTATACTGTTGTTCAGGATAAAGAAAAGCCATGTGATTGTATAAGTAAGCAAGATCTTTGCTTATTGTGCAGTTTCTAACAAGCAGCATGACCACCTGGGATTGTCTGATCCCCTAAGTCTTGGTTGATGGAAACCAGATTAGTTGTTTTTCCTAGAATTATCTTTCAGCAAGTTACTGTAGGAATATAAAAAAGGGAGTTCCAGAATATTACAATTCTGTCTTCATTTGGATGTACTATAACTCGGTCGTCAGTCTTTATAAAGTTTAGAACAGTTTCACTTGAAAATGGAAAGATGAGAGACAGGAGGCGTGGCGCTCCATCTGCATGAGCGAAAGAGCTGCGTTAGTTACAGTACCTACGTAGGGTACTTCTGAACATTGTTATTACTTGAGCCATAGTTTTTTTTCACTCCTCAGTTTTGGGAAATGGGTCTTATGAGAAGAGAACTGAACACGTTTTGACTTTTGTTGCTGTATTGAACTTGTCTTTGAAATGTGATCTTTGGTCACAGGTCAAAGAAATTCATAGATCCTATTTATCAGATATGGGAAGACATGAGTGCTGAAGAGCTTCAAGAGTTTAAGAAACCCATTAAAAAGGTAAATTTGTGATTCAACACACTTTCTGGGAATCTTCATTGTGGTTATACGTCATAGTCAAATAGTAAACAGCAGTGTTACACTTTAAGAATACTACATTTTACTCATTTTGCATTTACAAAATTCCAAGCCCAGGTTATATTCTTATTATTAAGAGTTTTGGGGGTTTTGTTATTATTATTATTTTTTTAAATGTTTATTTATTTACTTACTTTGAGACAGAGTCTTACTCTGTCGCCCAGGCTAGACTACAGTGGTGCAGTCACAGCTCACTGCAGCCTCAAACTCCTGGGCTCAAGTGATCCTCCTGCCTTGACCTCCCAAGTAGCTGGGACTATATAGGTGCACACACCACCACACCTGGCTAATTTTTCTTATTTTTTGTAGGGTCTGGGTCTCACTGTGTTGCCCATTCTGGTCTCAAACTCCTGGCCTCAAGTGATCCTCTCACCTCAGCCTCCCAGAGTGCTAGGATTATAGGCCTGAGTGACCATGCCCAGCTAGTTTTTGGGTTTATGATAATACTTTACATAATGGCTTAGGGGAGTGAAGGTTAATTACAAATTAGCTGAACAAATTTAGATCTTTACCACTTGATCATTACCAGCAAGTAACAATCTCAACTTGCCTCATGTTGAAATTATCGTAGAAGTTTACATTGTCATAGATCTCCACGAATGTGTGGTGAAGACGCAGATCTGTGGCATGTCCTCCAGCAGACGTTAGGTGGAGCTGGCACAGTATTGCCAAAGAAGAAAATTAGAACCCAGTGTTACATTATGTCACTCTGTGTTTATTTTGTAGCACATTTATTTCCACATTAAAAGTCAGCTTTAATATGCCTTTTTTTGTTATTTTTTTAACCCACAAGATTCTAATAATATGCCTTTTTTTAATTATAGTAATCATTGGAAAGCTCATTTTATATTTTTCCTTATATTTTGCATTTGTTGGGGGGCATGATTCATTCACATTGTGTTAGATACAGGAGCTGTAACACTGAGCAAGAATGATGTGTCCTGTTACCTGTCCTGATTGAGCCTAAAATCTGTTCGCAAATCAGAATTTTCAGTAAATTAAGATTATTTCCTTCACCATCATCTTTACAAAAGTAGCACGTTCTTGAGGAAAGGAATTCTTGAAAACTTTTCAGTCACCACTTATAGTCTTACTCATGATTTCTCTTTATACAGGAGACACTAGAAGATGAAGATGATGATTTTTTAAAAGGTGAAGTGGCCCAGAATGATACTGTGATTGGGATTACACCAAGCTCCTTCGATGCGCACTTCCGAAGTCCTTCAAGCAGCGTGGGCTCCCCACCTGTGTTGTACATGCCAGACCAGTCCCTGTGACCTCGAGGATTCGTGACTGAAACGAGCCCCGTGCCTCCCCACCGTGCCCTTCGGCACCTGGTCTGTGCTGCTTGGGCGTTGCTTGAACTATGATGAGTATGTGCCTCAGGCATTGTACTTGCAAGTTAGATTTAATCTAGTGTCTGAACAGAAATGTGGTTTTTTTTCTTTTTTGTTGTCCTGACAGACAAAAGGAAAAGACTGAATATCATGTGCAATATTTTACAGTGGAGTTCATGATAAATTTCGAAGACTGCCTGTTTAATGTGTACATTTTTTTGTGTTACCAGTTTTTGACATAATTGTGAAATTTCTAGTATGGCCAGCAGCCTGTTTTAACAGATTGCTTTTTTAACATAGGTTTGTGTCAGAGGCATAGTCATAGGACTTTGTTCAGCTGCTTTCAGTGAAAGATCCTCTAAGGTAAATCCTCTCTTTACCTCTGTTTAACTAAACTGTGTTTATTTTGGCTACACTGTTTATCTTCTGCTGTGACTGTATTTGTGTGTTGGCATTTCAGTGGCAGGCAGAGAAGCTAGACAGAAAGTGGGGAGATGGCCAGTCTGGGACGCTGAGCTTTGGAGCTGGTACTGAAAGGGATCTCTGGGGACTTCAGAGACCAATAAAAGTCCGTAGGGAAGAGATCAAGGATTTAGGGAAACAGAATCAGACAGATGACATACTTGTGCAGTATAAAAATGGATTTAAAAGAAAAATTGAGGTCCAGGTAAACGTAATTCCCCTTGGCCGCAAGTGGGTGTGGACCTGTATAAGCACACGACACAGTATTTACACTTGGGCTCTCAAACATCCTATTGGAACTGGAGCTGCTCATTTGTAGCAGCTGTATCAGATTATTTTGACCAGCATCAGTTCGTTATTTTATGAATTAGTTTGTCCAAAGGGGGAAAAAACTTTTTTTTTTTTTAGGTTATTTGGTGGAATGGTTTTGCTAGCAACAATAGACTGAAGTTACCACCGCAGTCTTTGTCTAATGGCTGTGCATATCATGGATTTAGCTTGGGGAAATCCTTCTCTCCAAGCTTCTTTTTATATTTTTATAACTGAACACAGGGGGGTAGTCTAAGACACCCTCGCTTTATAAGAAATTTGTGCAAGCGCTGCTAGAGTCATTTTGAAGCTCAAGCATACTTTCGCTTTCTTATATGTGTACTTTTTTGTTTACTTGTGAAAATGGCCAACTTTAAGCATATTTATTTTTCTGCCACTTCTATTTATTTAAAGGCAAGCAATATTTTCTTGATCACAAATATTTTGTAATGAAACACTCTGTCCTAGGGCTTTGTATGCTCTTATATAATTACACTGATGGCAATGTAGAGTTTGAATTTCAGTCTGTAAATACTTTTTTATAAAATAGAAATTTTTATTGCTTTAAAGGTTTAGATATTGGTGGTTTTCTTTTGGTGACTTGGCAGAAAGTCATTTAAGAACCTAAGGTTCTCCTTTTTTAACTGCTGGTAAAAAGGTGGGATTTTGTGTATTGGATAAAATGGGTAAATGAAAATGTATCCACAGAAGTTAATGGTAACTGGGATCTTTGTGGGTTGGGAAGTAGTTTTAATGTAGAAGAATAGGGCTAGTATTTACAAAGAAGTCTGTTTAATTTCGAAGGAGTTTGAGGAAAAAATCCATTGTGAAAATAAAACAGTGACATGGTTAATCTGGAACTTTCATTCTTATGCCAATTAAAGGAGGTACCCCAATGAAAAGACTTCTCACATAAATGTTCTTTTGATTCTGTTGTGTTTTTGTTGGTTTGGTTTTGTTGGGGTTTTTTGTTGTTTTTTTTCCCCCCCTGAGAGAAGAGTCTCGCTCTGTCACCCAGGCTAGAGTGCAGTGATGTCATCAGAGCTAACTGTAACCTCAAACTCCTGGGCTCAAGCGATTCTCTTGCCTCAGCCTCCCGAGAGGCTTGGGACTACAGGCATGTGCCACCACACATGGCTAATTTTTCTATTTTTTGTAGACAGGGGGTCTTGCTCTTGCTCAGGCTGGTCTCATACTCCTGGCCTCAAGCAATCCTCCTGCCTTGGCCTTCCAGAGTGCTAGGATTACAGGTGTGAGCCACCGTACCCAGCCATGATTCTGTTATGTTTTTTTAAACTAATTTAACGTATTAAGGCTTGGTTTTGCAATGGAAAACTGCTCCTGAGACCTCACCATTGAAGAGGGGAGAATATTGCTGGTGTGACTGGGAGTGTTCACAAATCAATTGCATGCTGTGGTGAGGATGGCTGCCACATGCATCATCTGAAGTGTCAGACACTCCCTGATCACACCCAGCCAAGAGTGACTGAAGCCTGAACAGGTCCAAGGGAAGCAAACACTTCTTCAAGAAAGTTACATGCTTTGAAGGAACATCTATGGGGAAAAAAAATTGTGAGATCTCCTTGGAAATTACATGAAAGAATGGGCATTTTCTATCCCTCTTACTAAAAAGCAAGCCTTCAATTGTAGGAGTCTCCAGGGCCCATCCTTTTGTCTGTGCTCTGGGTGGGTCTTCCTCAATAAGTGGCTGAATTTATATACATGTGAAAGGACTAGTGACTTACAAAGTGTCACAAGTGTCAAACCTGGCTTCCCTTCCTAACCAGCTGTTTGACCTTGAGCAAATTACCTAACCTCTCTGAGTCTACTTTTATTGAGCTATAAAATGGGAATAACTGATACCTATTTTATGGTTTTGAGGATTCAGTGCTTACATGTAAAAGTCAGTTAATAATGGTTGTTTGGCTACCTTATGAGAAAATCTAAGCAGGAAGCATTTTCATGGAAAGGTCTTTTCAAAGCAAAGATAACTTCCATTTCTTCCATATTACCTCCTTCATACCAACTTAGATCTCAACTGGAGAGAAAGGGCCAGTGTGCTACCTACCCCTGCCAGGCAGCGCTTATGATGGTGATTCTTTTTTTTTGAGACAGAGTCTCACTGTGTTGCCCGGGCTAGAGTGCCATGGCGTCATCCTAGCTCACAGCAACCTCAAACTCCTGGGCTCAAGTGATCCTCCTGCCTCAGCCTCCCGAGTAGCTGGGACTACAGGCATGTGCCACCATGCCCGGCTAGTTTTTTCTACATATATTTAGTTGTCCGATTAATATCTTTCTATTTTTAGTAGAGACGGGGTCTCGCTCTTGCTCAGGCTGGTTTCGAACTCCTGAGCTCAAACAATCTGCCCGCCTCGGCCTCCCAGAGAGCTAGGATTACAGGCGTGAGCCACCGCACCCGGCCTTGATGGTGATTCTTAACCCTGATTATGCCCCAGAATCCTCTGGGAAGCTCTGAAAAACTAAAGATGCCCAGGTCCACCATACCCCAAAATTCGACCAGTCTGATTAAATCAATCTCCAGGTGAGAGGGGCTGGACGTTAGTCTCTTTTAAACAACCACCACAACAACAAAAAAAATTGAGCTTTCATAGCTGCAATGTTTCCTCCCACCAAATGCTTTCCTTTCAGTCTGACCTTATGGGTCTTATAGTAGTATATGCAGTAATTTAGATCCTTTCGCTAAGTATTTACCAAGTTTCTATATAATGTTTTTAAGTAGAGAATTTTATTCTTAAATTTTTCCCCCCATATATTTGATGTTCATCATTTTTTAATGGTTGTGATACACATCAGAGTGTTGCTGTGATGGGATAAACCGTTCCTGAAAAGTTGCTGACCATGATGATTATTACCATTATAGATAAAGCTGCGAGAACATCTGTGCACGGAGGGTTCAGGTGTTGGTATTTGGTTGTTTGATTTTGCTTTCTATTTTTGGCGAATTGTTTTTCTTGAGTTAATGATTTCCCAGGGGACAGGTTATGAACTTCATCGTCTCTTGCTACATATTCACCATAGAATACTGTCATATACTTATTACAGTAAAGTAGTAATTACTTTATAATTTTAACTATTTAAAATTTTAGTAATTTTAAAATTACTTTATAATTTTTTTTAAAAAAACTTCCCTATATATGTTGTTTGTACCTTGCAATCAGCCATCCTGTGAGGTAGGCAGGGTAGGTTTCCTGTCTTAGAGGTGAGAGAACAGGCTTTGCAGCATTGTGACTAGTCCAAAATCAGAAACCTGCTATTGCTTCTTCATCATCTATAGACCAAACTTTGTGGGCGTGGGGTGCGGAGGAAGGTAGGGTGGTTTCCTTCTTGTCATCTGACTTACTTAATCCTTTGATGCAAGACTCTTAGCCTAGGAGATTCGTTTAACTTTCTGAAATTACTTGGAAAAAGATCACTCAAAAGTTAAAAACCAGTTCATTGAAGGCAAACCATACCAGCCCCACGCAGAAGCGGTAGAACATTGTTCTTTATCTTTGCACTTCCAAAATGCCTCACATTTATTGACTACTCTTTGCACTGTAATTCCAGTAACAGCTGTCTATTGAGTGTTTACTATATGCCAGGAATAAACAGATGCTATGATCGATCATCCCTATTCTACAGATGAGAAAACCAGTACAGAGAAGTTAAGTAACTTGGTCAAGGTCACAGAGCTGGTAATAGATCACCCTGGATTCAAACCCTGGTCTTGGCCCTGAGCTTCCTACTTGGGATTTATTTAATTTTACCTGCATTACAATGAGTTGTTTATGGTTTTACCACCTAGGAGTATATTAAAGTGATGGAGAGCATTGGCTTTGGACTCATACAAAGCTGGGTTTAATCTTAGTTCTACCAATTTTTATATTATTTGTATGACTTTGGGCAAGTTACTATACTTGCAAATGAGAAATGAAGATGTAGTATCATATAAATACTTTCCTGCTAGCTAGAAATAGAGCTATTCTGTGTGAGAAGTTGGGTAAGCTGGGCCTGGAGACACCCATGAGCTCTTCTATGGTTTCTTCTCTATTTCCTGTATTTTGTCGAGGGGGGCATGTGTATGAAGGATGAGGATGTGAAATACAGGTGATGAAATTCTCATGAGCTTTCTGCTCCGTGTGAGATGGCTCCTCTTAATCTCACCGCTGTATCTAAAATTACTTCTTGCTAACGCACTGCAGAGCTGGATCTATTTGAGACATATTTTCAAGTTTCAGAAAAGACCTCCATGGTGGGACGCCCACTCCGCGGGTACCCAGCCTCAGAGTAGGGGCTGTGTGGTATCCTGCTGATCGTCCCCCGGGATTCCTAGCCAGTCTATGAGCGCCTGCTGGATGCCAAACACAGGTGTTATTCATGATTTTTAAATGTGTGGGGCTAACACAATTCAGGATCTACTTTTCCTGGTTTAAGATTGTTTACGTGTATTACTTACTAAATACAATCCAATGTTGCAGCACAGCAGGGTCCCAAATTCAAACTTGTGGAAGGTCACACACCTGAGAAGTGGCGGGGCAGTGACCTACAGCGACGCCAGAACCTGCACTCAGGCTAGGACGGCCAGCCTCCAGCAGCGTGCGCGCCTCCTCTCCAGCTGCTCCCCTGCCCATTCCGCCGACGTCCACGCTTTGGGCACTACATTTCCCAGTGCCCCCTGCGGCGCAGGCTGGCTGCGGGCCGCTTCCTCGCTTCCGGACTCCATTTCCCGTGAGGCCTTGCGGCCCGTCTTGGCTCTCCCAGCCTCTGCGGGCGGCACCGCCCCGTCTGGACTCCACTTCCCGGCGGCACCCGCGGCGTGGCGGGGCGCGGCGTGGCGGCCGGAGGGGCGGGGACGGCGGGCAGCCCGGGGCTGGGGAGGCAGCTGCCTCCCTGGGCCTGTCCGGGCGGCCGCTTTCGCGATGCCTCTGCTCGTCGAGGGACGGCGAGTGCGGCTTCCGCAGTCTGCCGGGGACCTCGTCCAAGCCCACCCGCCTCTGGAGGTGAGCGGGGCCCGGCTCGGGGGCTTCGGGGCGGGCCCGAGGGGAACCTGCCAGGCGAGCGAGAGCCCTCTTTACCCGCCCGCCACCACCTGCTCTCACCCGAGACACCCTTTAAACTTGGCGCAGCTGAGCTGCTGTCGGCAGATCCGGAGGCACATCCGGAGCCCTGGCCGCCGACTTCTTTTGCGGGATCCGCGGAGCTTTTACCTTCTTTAGACTTTAGAGGGTATCCGCTGAGGCCCCTTCTTTACAGAGGAGCGGACGGGGGCCCAGAGAGGTTAGGTGACTTGTCCAAGGTCGCACAGCACCGCGGCTTGAAGACACCCTGGGACGTCCCATTCGCAGGCAGGGCGTTCCCTCCCC